CACACACACACTCCTCACAGCACACACACGCACTCCTCACAGCACACACACGCACTCCTCACAGCACACACACGCACTCCTCACAGCACACACACACACTCCTCACAGCACACACACACACTCCTCACAGCACACACACGCACTCCTCACAGCCTGGCCGTCCAGCGCTATTAACATTTAGCATTTTATGAGTAACACTGTGTCAGACTGGCTGTTCAGGTGCTTAAGTGTGCAGATCTCAGCCCCATGGGGGCCTGCTGTTGTACCCTTTTGGGGGGGGGGGTCCGTAACAGCTGCAGAAAGGGGTCAGATGGGAAGCCGCTCCGGGTCGGGCTGTCGGCTCAGTGATGCGCCTCTACTGGCCGCTTCAGTGAGATTTTACACCGACTGAGGATCGAGTGTCTGTGTGAAAATGTGTCGGGACACTTACTGATCTCTCTGCTCTCTGCAGGGGCGTCTTCAGGAGGAAACCGGGGGCTCACTGTCGGCATTGTGGTTCCTGTGGTGCTTTTGGTGCTTGTGGTGGTTGGGGTGTTAATCATAAAATGGAGGAACAGGCAAGGAGCGGAAAGGCAGGAAGATTCTGTTCTGTACACTGAGGTGCTCACTACAATCAAAATGCTGGTTCAGAAATAAAATGTGGTGCAGAGAGGTCTAGAATGCCGATATCAATATGCTTGAAGTTAGATTATGGGAATTGTCGTTACGCGTTATCATGATGCGTTAAGGGTTTTGGGGGCTTTCTGAACGTCTCCTATCCAGAGTCTATTTGGAGGCCAGTGGATCCTCAGTTTCAGGTGTCTTTTCCCAGAATTACCTCTGCTGTACTGTATTTGGATGCCAGGAAATGCTTCTATTTTTAAAATTATTTATTTTTTACTGGATTTTAAAACATTTTTTATCAGTGGATATTTTCTTGTTGCATAAATATGAATGTTACACCTGTGAAAAAAACTCTTGAAATATGCTTATGCAACTTTATACAATAAAGCTATTTATTTATGCCATTTAATAGTTGTATGTGTGTTATCCATCTCCACAAATCGGGCCTGTAGAACAGTATAAGAATCTGGGAGCAG